ACCTTGAATTGGACGGCGATTCCGCACGCGCCTTCGAGTCGATGCTGGCATTCCTGCGTGGAGGAGCGACGCCAGATGAAACACAGCTGTGTGTGAAGTGGACGTGGTTTGTATTTCTCAAGTACTACTCGCGTGACAACAAAGGCAAATTAAGAACTTGCGTTACCTGTCGTTCCATGTTTCACTACAGGGGAGGCCGAAGAGGGAGAGGGGTCCGCCAACAGGCGTATTTGCGGCAGCTTTCGTGCCAAACGATACTCCATTGGCGCCTGTAGGCGACGGAAAGTCCCGGAAAAACGACAAAAGATTTACGAAGTCTCATGTGGTGCTGGCGGAGGCGGGGCTGAAGAGCCAGATGTGAGGAAAAAGTGCCCTCTTGTGCAAGTTTGTATTCCTGAGGGCGTGTGCGTAAGAAGGATGCATCCAGCATCGAGCCTTTCTTTAAAAATTATAATTCTCAGCCTGATTTTCTTGAACCAGTTTGGTCGGTACCGAAATTTTGCGCTCTCTCCCCACCGGCATTGTTCCGACAAGGAAGGTGGTGGCAGTGCCGACATCGGCGGGTACGCTGGCGGAGGCGCGGATGATATGGATTCCGTGGATGATGAAGACGCCACCGGAGGGTGCTCTCGGGGGTAAGGAGATGGATGCGGTGAGATGAAGAGGGAGTCCAACAGTTTCTTGAAAACGTAGAGAAGTTGGATTGATTTTTTCACGAGTATCGCCTGGTGTAAGCGTCTGGTGTGTGCGTGTTCCGTATTAACAATCGTCCTTTTGCGCTCTCTTTCTTCTCACCAGAACCCGCATCTGTGCTTCATCCGAGTCGCATATCTGAGCTGGTTTTCGTCATCTGTTTCGCGAGTTTTAGGCATGAGAAAACTACTAGATTTAGAATTGCGAGTGGCCACGAAAGTCTCAGATTTTCGTCTCGCGTAGATATGTCGTTGGTCACCTGAAACAGCTGCACAACGCTCACCGAATGTGTGTTTTTTCCCTAAACGACGTGGCGCTCGTGTGCGTCCGCTTCAGGTCATACCCGGGTGAAGTGGATCGTTGGCCCTTTTCTCGGGCCAATTCCCGTTTGGCGGCTCCGATGCGCATTTGTCGGTACAGGCGGTTGGTTTGTCGGTGTTGGTTGGGCACACCGGACCAGTATTGAAGGATGTGTCGTCTGGAGTGGCTGAGGTCCATTTCCCGTTCCTAGGAAGTGCGAAGTAGGCCTTTCCAGTGTGTCTCGTAGAGGACAGCGATGACGCCGCCTCGTGCACGGACCGATTGGTGTCCAGTGATTTTTTCGACCTCGAGGCGTTGGTCTTCGATGCGGACGTCGCTGTCGAGAACGTGGTAGGGAGGTGACTTGCTGGAGTGTTTGTTGAGGACATAGCGCGATAGTCCAGCTGGTGGAAACCGCGGGCGGTCGGCATCGTGTGGCCTGTACAAGGCTTGCAGCGTTCGACCGTGACGCGTGGTTTTGCTGAAGCTCCGGGCATGTCGGAGGGGAGGTTCAAGTAGAAGACCTTGTCGGCGAGTGGGCGCTTGTCTGGCACGGAGGCAGCAGGCCCGACTTCGAGGATCTTGAAAGGCCCCGTCCAGTTCAAGGATAATTTCACCTTGAGAACGGTGGCATCAGCGTCGGTGGAAGCCGTGGGTCCCACCTTGGAGCCCTGGGTGATGGTAGATGCCGAGTTGTAAATCCACACCCAATCGCCTAGTTTGTAGGTAGGCGTATGGTGGAGGGCGTCCGAGAGGGCAGAGTTGCGCCGGTTGATGCGCGAAACGGTGAGCCGGTGTTGTTCGCGAAGTGCCAAAAAAAACAACTTGCGGGATCAACTTTGAGCGACACACTCGGTCTGCGATGCCATGTTTTATGGGAAGCTGGGATACAGGCTTCAATAGGCAGTGTGGGGCGTACCCGACCACTGTAGAGCAGGCTGTCGCTCACAAGTCTCTCTCACGTTTGTTCGTTCTCAATCAGCAGGGTAGAACCTAGGCAAGTGATCCAGGGACAGCATTCATCCGTGGCTCTTTCCTACTATGTTCCATGGCTCTTTCCTATTCTCAAGACACATGCGCAATACCGTGCCTGTATCTTTGAGTACGGATCCACATCGCTATATCTAACGGGCATATCTGCAATACCATAATATACTGCAGCGAGGCAGGCCTCGCAAATTCATCGATGGGCTAATGTTGGAGCTGTCCCCAAACTCAAGCCTCTGCACGGAGTTCGGCCAAGCAACTCCGATGATGGACCGATTGAATCTGCTCTAGAACTCTTTTCTACATACATAGCAGTTGTAGCAGCCCTGATTTAGAACTTTGTTCGGTTAAATGCCTTTCGCTAGGACTGTTTTGGTAGGGGGGGATAGACTTACTTTGCGAATGGGTGTCTAATCTTCAAGTTTGGCTGCCGCTGGCTTGATAGCCTTTTTTTGCCTTTCGTCAGCTGCCAAGCTTGCCCCCCACACGGCGGTGGCCGAGGCTCATCTCGGCGAAGATGTTTTCGAGACAACCCTCCCGACCCCCCGCCCTAGGCCAGACCTAGCTACGACCACATGGTGCGCGCTCAGTCAAGCCTACATGTTGTGGAAAACCCCCGCCCCCTCACAAACTTATCTCCACCTTGGCAAGAGGGGGGCGGGTCTCCACCTGGGAGGATGAAAAAATTAAGTGCAAGACGCCAAGCTTCATGAAATTGCAGGATTTAGTTTCAAGCCATCGGGAACCCCGTACAGAGCGAACTCGTCGCCCATATGACAGCTTTAATCTTCACACAGCCGAGCAGAAACTGATGAGCGTTTCGCAAAGTCATAAAAATGACCGTTTTTCTCCAAGGCCGCCATCTCGAATGATATTTTCAGATGCACAAGGCTTCAGACTGTACGCGATCCGAACGACTCTCGGCCAGAATAAAGGGCCCGTCCTTCAATTGAATCCAACATCTTAAGTCAAGGTGGGGGAGAGTAGTAGTGCCGTAAACATCATCGCCGAGAAACGGATTTCAAACGCTTTTGATCACCACAGCGATATTGTTGTGAGCTCTATCTACTGCTCCACGTCGCTGCCGCCAAAAACAATAACCTGGCTTCAAGTACCGCTGAAACAACACCGCCGTGCTGCGTTATACTGCCGAAACACAACGCCATGTATCTTGAAATGTTTTGAAGGACTACAACGGCAAACATCTGATTGCAAGAACGCATACACCACACGAGGACAGAAAATCAGTACTTGCTCCCGGCAGCCAACACTTGCTCAACACCTTTGACTTCTCAAATGTGGTGCCCTCTGGGACAACAAAAACTAGAACACATTTCTTGACTGATACATCCTCGGATGCAACAGCTGCGTCCCAGAAACTCTGTACTTTCGATCCTTGCTCGATAGGCTCTGCACCTGTATACTTCATTTGAAAAAAGTACAGGGTATCATCACGACTGTCCAAAGCGAACGCATCAATCCCTGGAAAGACCAGACTGTATGGCCTGTAATAGATATCACGGTCATACTTAAAAGAAGTGTTGTTGCCCTTGAATACCTTTACTTCGTTGAAACTCAAATCCCATTTTTTTCTCTCCCCCGATAAAACCTCACTACGTGTAGCGTTGAGGACTGCCATATCGAACGGTGCTC